CTGGCTAAGCTAGCAAACATTCCCGAGGTCAACTACGCAGTAGTTATGATGCAACGTGGCCACACGAGATATAGTCGGTTGCAACATAATGCGTCAGAAAAGGGCCAATTGGCCCACCCGGTCCGCAATGCTATAGAAACATAGAGGGCCAATTGGCCCCTCCGGTCCTGAATGTGTTAAAGTCTGCATCCTGTTGCATGTATATAATCAACATATACAAATTACACTGTCAACGCAACAATTGTCTGTTAACATATATAGCACTCCATGTTTCGACCCTAACGGGCCATCCTCTGGTGCTGCAAGTCTCACACACTCAACCACTGAAGTGCAATGCTTGCATTCCCATTTATATACATATGGTTCAAAAAGTTACTTTCTGTACATATTCAATTCATCAACTAGGCTAGACATTGATTCAAACAAGAATCATACATATTAAATGGTAAAAATAACAATTAAGTTAAAATTTGTTTAAAACTAAAACTAAAACTGATTTTTAAAACTCTGTGAGCTGTGATGACATCTGAAACATCTGTTTCCTATCTTTATGTCATGATTTTACCCTGCATTTTGGTGACGAGACAGCAACATATACTTAGTTTTCTCTGTGTTTACTTCTAGACCAACCTCCTTACTTGCGTCAATTAAAGTTTGTTTGTTTTTCTTTATGGTATCTATATTATCACCCAGTAGATTCACATCATTGGCATAGACCAACAGCTGATGTATCCTGTTTAATTTCAGTCCCACCTGGTTTTCCTGGACATTCCTACTGGCATATTCTAAAGCAAAGTTGAAAAGGAGTGGCGATAAAGCATCTTCTTGTTTTAGACCATTCTGGATAGGAAATTTATCAGACAAACGTTTACCTATACAGACTTTACTATATGTTTTGTTTAAACACATTTTAATCAGCCTAACTAGTTTCACGAGGTTCAAAAAACTACTATGTAAAATGTTTTGTTAAAAAAATAATAGAATTTTCAACTGATTAAAATCTTACTGTGAGACCCTGTGATGGTCATATTCCTTCACAGTAGGTTGTCTGTACTGTGTTGTGTGTAATGTATACTCTGAACAGCCTGAGCCAATGACAGCATTACATAATTTTCATTTCATGCATCCTGTTGTGTTACAATATACAACTCTTTTATTGACCGTCACAACACAACAAACAGAAAAAATCAAGCTTAGCGCCCAGCTATGGTTTCGCTACATGTTTCAGCCACTAACGGCCATCATCAGGCAAACACATATTAACAAACGTATACCATTGAACTGCTGTACATTAAATTGGATACAAAGTTATTAATAATTTAAAATACTTTGCGTGAAAATACAATAAGTCAGATTATATAAAAACTAAAAGTAATTGTATAAAACAAGATAAAACTTAATTGATGTTATACAACATTGAATCAGTCGTTGATTATTTACTTTTCATACGTTTCCATGGACCAATTGGAAGTTCGATATTACGAACGAGTCATTTACTTTCCATGCAGTATGGACAATTCTTCGTAAGATGAAGCACCGACTATACAATTAATTAATTTGCAACATCATGGGCCTCCTATACAGTTTTATATAAAAGTAATATCGAACTTCCAATTGGTCCATGGAAACGTATGAAAAGTAAAAAATCAACAACTGATTTGATGTTGTATAACAACAATTAAGTTTTATCTTGTTTTATACAATAACTTTTAGTTTTTATATAATCTGACTTATTGTATTTTCACGCAAAGTATTTTAAATGATTAATAACTTTGTATCCAATCTAATGTACTGCAGTTCAATGGTATACGTTTTCTAATATGTGTTTGCCTGATGATGGCCGTTAGTGGCTGAAACATGTAGTGAAACCATAGCTGGGTGCTGTCCTTGATTTTTTCTGTTTGCTGTGTTGTGACGGTCAATATAAGAGTTGTACAGCATTACATAAACTATGGATCAACAAATATAAATTTTAGACTCTGAAATAATATATTCCCAAAGTGCAGCCTCATAATTTCATTATTAATATACCTTCAGTTATCACTTGTAAGTAATTTATGCCCAACAGTACTACCATTACGTATTAACTTTGTAATGGCAGGAAGCTACAGAGTGCTAAAGAAAAGAAAACACAACACACGTGAACAAAGGTTAGTGGTAAAATGTTTTAAAGTTTGAATAGATGGGTATAATAATTTTAAAATAGCCTTTAAGTATTTTATTAACAATTTCTACACAGTATTTAAAAAAGCTTATATATTCTACACTATCATACATATATATACAATTTATTAATTCATATTTCCAGCCTTCATTACAAAAATGTGAGGTCTAACAAATATAAATTGGCTAATATTCTTGTGCAGCAAATGACAACATGAGTTTGCATGTGATACAGCACATCACATAATTTTGCTTTCTATAAACACTGAGATTCAGTTTGTTGTTACTTTGCCAGAAAATTAGAAAACAAGTCCGTATCTTTTGGAAAATACAGTGGCTGGTGATAAGACTTAAATCTCCAGTACAGACCAGAAACAAAATGCTGAAATCTCCAATAAAAGTCATGCCACAACACACTGAAAAATATGTGAATATTGAAATCAAAGGTTAAAATTATGCTTACCTGCTTTTATACTGAAAGATTTATCTATTATGAATCTGTTCCTCGAAATCAGTGAAACCAATGAAATAAATCTTCCAAGTACTGAAAGGTTTACACAGCATGTTCATCAAACAATATCACATCGCTCATTGAACAAATGAGCAATTTTCTGTTTCATGTTGCCAAAAATGAAAGTCTTCAAGGAGGAGTCTCATTTTTTATCATTTGTGGCTATTCAAAGGAGCATTTCAGCAATATTTCCAGGTATAGCAAAGACATTCAAATTAAAGGCATAGCTTGAAGGTGACCACTCACTAATAGTTACTGAACCCTCTCTGTTTTTAAGCAGAAACAAATTAACTGTTACACCTTTACATATATCTGTCACTGTAATACAAACATGCAACAATGTGCAACAAGCATATATAGCAAAAAATGATGTAAAATTACAGTTTCACTCTTTGGGTGTGAAAGGCACATTCCTGTGATGCTGAAGTTGCCATTCATCATGGCCTTGAGTGTAGCAACTCTTGCAATAAAGATCATTATCACAATCTATGCACCTGATAGTTGCATTTTCATTACAAATGATACACCATGGTATTTCCTCCTGAAAAGTGCAAAGTAATTATTATGGAAGAACTAGAATTACAGCAAAAAAAATAAATGTAACAGACTTTGAGGGAAATAATATACAAAATAAGTGGACATGTCTACCTTGAAAACTGTTTTCAAGCTGAATTTAGTTTTAGGTAGACTTCATGGCTGCATTTACAGATACTGATCACATCTGATACTACAAATTTAAGTCAAAGCTAAAAACATGTCCCTGAACAATATAAATGAAGGCTCCATGGAGCAGTCCCTTTTGGGAAGCTAACAGTTATTCAGTCAAGAAACTGACATAATTTTATAGACCTGAATGTTTATTACTATGGTCACAAGAGCTTGTGCTGATCCCGATTCTGCATCAGACACATCTAATTCACATCTTTCCAGCCTGTTTCTTCGAGATCCATTTTTCCATCTATGCCTAATCTTAAAGCTCTCTTCTCCCTTCATGTTTTCTGAGCAAAACTGTTTGAATCTCTCTTTCATCTCATTCTCCTTGATTTGATCATCCTAATAATATTTAAGGTTGCATTAATTTGACTAAAATTAAATTTTAAAAATACATTAGTATTCACCACAACCTTATGAACTACTTTGGCAGGGAACATCAATTTTATATCAATATATCATTTGGATTATTAATTTAAAAAAAAGTGGTACTGATTTAAAGTGCATAAATTAATCTACAATATCAAAAGCTGTAAATATAATGAATGGATACTGAACTAAATTTTCAAAATGTAACAAAAGACATTAGTATTCACAAAAACCTTATTACTACTTCGGCAGGGAACATCAATTTTATATCAATATATCATTTGGATTACCAATTTTAAAAAATGGTACTGCTTTAAAATTGCATAAATTAATCTACAAGAACAAGAGCTGTGAATATAATGACTGAATATTGAACTAAATTGTCAAAACGAAACACAAGACTGGGGGCATGTAGTAACATAACTGGTGGATGTGCTATGCTACAAGCTGGAAGGTCACTGGATTTTTCAATTGACCTAATCATTCCAGATGCACTATGGCTCTGGGATTGACTCAGCCTCTAACAGAAATGAGTACCAGGAATCTTCCTGGGAGTAAAGGGTGGCTGGTGCGTAAGGCTGACAACCCCACTGCCATCTGTGAGCTGACTGTCTAGAAAATGTGTAGCCTTGATGTCTTACAACCCTATGGGCCTCCATGGCCTGTTACCTAACATAAGACTGACACTACGTATGTATTCTCTTCATGAATCTTGTGACCTTTGGCCTTTCACTCATCCTGTGTCAGATCAATATGTTTCCTTGTTATTTGTATTCTACTATTCTCACCTCCATCTCATTGTCTTCAGAATCCTCCTCTAGTTCCTTCTCTATGGCCACTTCATCAAGAGCCTGTCAAAAAATAATGACATGTTACCTGCATTACACCTTAAGAACACTGCAAAGGATTAGGAAATATAACTAACATTCTCAAATCTCATCAGAACTGTCACAGCATGACAACACTGATGAAGCTGCAAGAAGCAACATGTATCAATCTCCATCCAGTAAGACCTTCCACATGAAGAGTCATGGCTCCTTTTTTTACAAATACTGATCCTGAAGAAGCTAAAGAACACCGCAAGACATTTCAGTATTTTTATGTGGCATCAAGTAAAGGAAAATTAATGCAATGTAATCAAACTTCTTAGTTTATCTTTAATAGGTGATGTGTATTTCTGAAATATGGGTCAACTTTGTTAAATGGCAAAAAGCAATCTGAAGTAGGATAAATTCTTTTGACACAAGATGTCTCTAAACTTACCTTCTGTATTGTTTTCTCTATTTCTTCATCAGAGCTCTCAGCCTCCTCAGTTGGTATCTGAGCTGATAGTTCAATTTTTGTAGCTCTCAAGCTGCAAAGAATTACTTCAAGTTTTCTTAAATGTCGATTTAATATATGATAAAACAAATTAGGAAATGACTGCAAAATACAACAATTCTGGTGTATTCACTCAATATCCAACGTTTCTGATATTGTAAATATCATCTATGACGAGACATCACTACAATTAATCTTATTCTAATTATGCCAACTTCACATTGTGAAAATATGTACTACTATAATATTGTGTGTGGTGTTAACCATTCTCTGCAACATATGCCAAAAACACTAATTTTCTTTTCGAATATAATTCTGCATTCATGAAATTATGGTCTTCTGGCATATGACACCATGTAGCCTGGTAGGGAGATATTAACATTTCAGAAGAATCTTCGCCCTTGATTTTCAGGGCGGAAGCAATTAAGTCTTCTACCCTGAAGATATGATGTGACCCTGTGTTCTCTGGTGGAAGTTCACTAACAATTTGGAAGAATATATTACTGCCTCTATCTTCACGTAAACCACACCTGATTTTTGCTGGTTACTTGCTTGGCTTATTCTTCTACCCTGAAGGTGGGGGCAATACATCCAACCGAAATGCTGGTGAAATTCTACCAGGGTACACAGCATTACATCCCAAAAGACAGTACTGCTCACAGGGACTGCTGTGAGAATCTCAAATCTAACAGAAAATCTAAAAACTGGATTGTAATGGATTGGAAAAACACCTCAAAAATTGGCATTTGAATTATGAATGTCAATGTCCCACTGAGTTTGAAATTGAGTAATGTGTCATTTATAATACTTACTAGTGTTTGGTGTCTTTCTCCAGGTCTTTCATCTGGTGAATATTGTGTCTCATATCCTTTTCTGTTTGAACAATTAAGTCATTCACATCATTTTCTGACATGGAATCGAGACTTCCTTTGGTGTCAACTATAGCACTCTCATTTAGTATCTAGGAAAAGACAAAACTTTGCATTAACAGAAGTCTGACTGGGGCAAGCAGAAGGCTGAATGCTGCATTCATATTCCAATTTAGGTAAGAAAACTAGTGCCATACCTTCTTTTCAACTGTACAGGGTGGACCAGATGAAGTATCTTGACCTCGCAATTTGGCAAGGCGTTGGGCAATTTCATCTACTGCATCTGGTTGTCTCGAATCAAGTTCATGTTCTTGAAAATACTGGTGAAGAAGGTTATCTGCCTTTTCTTGGCTTGTTAATGTATCAGGAGGCACATACTTCTAAAGAATACAGCAAGAAATACTATGAAAGTTATGCCATTCTAACATAACCTTTGCATATTTAAGTCAAGTTTAGTCAACATATAAGGTACCCCTATGAAGAAAATAAAATTAACAAAATATTTATACAAACATAGGTTTGCCTTAGGCTGCGCCACAGCTCAAGCAGTTAGTCGCTGGCTTCCCATCGCGGCAGCCCAGGTTCGATCCCGGGTCTGGTCAAGTGGGATTTGTGGTGGACAAAGTGGCGCTGGGGCAGGTTTTCTCCGTGTACTTCGGTTTCCCTGCCAATCTACATTCCACCAATTGCTCCACAATCACCCTCACCTATCATCTGGGGCTGGTACAATAGGCCAGAAGTGGCCGCAGTACAAGGGACTCAGTCCCACCCCACTAGCAATTAAAAAAAAAGTTTGCCTTATATCAAGTTGGTAAATTTATCCCTATGCTTAAATCTGGGGAAATGCCCTCAGTATCCACCGCAGAGGGGGCTGGGTGGGCCGCAGAGCTCGTACACTATAGTGGCAAAGAAAAAATCTCCATCTCTACTGGGAACTGGGCCCCAATTCCACACTAATTCAGCATGTAGCTATACTAAAAGAAGAAAAGAACGGATTTTTTCCCTTGGAATGGGCCTTTATTTCCCAGTTATTAGCATGGAATAACAAACAAAAAAGAAACTCCGTGACTTTAGTCTGCAAGCGAACTATAGGCTTTTTTTTATGATTAGTATCTATTATGATATATAAAAAATATAATTCATTCATCACATGATGTGACAGTTCATATTGTTCAATTTGGGGAGGGGGGGAGATGAGATTTTGTGAGTACAATATAATAAGACTTAAAAATTTAATTCAAATCTAGTCACCCACTGCAGCAATAACTGCATGCATACAGGGACATTCATGTGGGGAAAAATGCCTACCTGGGAATACTGTTCAGTCTGTTCCAATCCCCATCAGTAATATTTTCTGTGCATTAAATAAAAATGTGTTAAATACAGGCAATTCTCTTTACAAAGGTCCATACATAAAAATTTCATGAGGACTGTTGGATACATCTTTCTGGATCATAATGGAGATGAAATTATTAAAGAATTTCCACAAGTAACACAATTCATACATCAGCACACAAGAAGGCTGTGCAGAATATGACAGGACAACCTCTGGAAATTATTTATGTAGGTAAGTCAATAAGTAAGTTACAAATGGATATAGAACTTAAACAAATAAGAGTACTGATTTGAAAAATGATTTTATTTCTCAACATAATTTCCCTGTACATTTAGGCACTTGTCCCGTTGTTTCACAAGCTCCTGAAAACCAGCAGCATAAAATTCTTTGGGTTGCTGTCGGAACCAGGTGGTGACTTCCCTTTCTACAGCTTCATTGTCGGGAAAATGTTCAGCCGAAAGATGATGTTTAAGAGAGCCGAACAAATGGAAGTCGCTTGGAGTAAGGTTGGGGCTATACGGAGGATGCTCGAGGACTTCCCACTTGAAATTTCAGAGCGTCTCATTTGTCTTGTTGGCAGTATGGGGACGTGCATTGTCATCCAAGAGCAACATGCCTGGTTCCAACAGCAGCCCAAAGAATTTTATGCTTTTGGTTTTCAGGCGCTTGTGAAATGACGGGACAAGTGCCTCAATGTACAGCGAGATTATGTTGAGAAATAAAAGCATTTTTCAAATCAGTACTCTTTATTTGTTAAAGTTCTATATCCATTTGTAACTTACTTACTGACTTACCCTCGTATAATAATTAGGGCTTTGATTTTTATGACCTAAAAACCATAAATATATGCATGCACCTATGACCCAAAATTACGTCAAATATGACCTGTATGCTGTAAAACCAATAAACTCTAAAATTTGCATTTATAAGCACAATAAGAACTATATAGTTTCAATAAGAAAGACTAGAAATGTATACAATTACATTTAAAAATAGTAATAAACCATAGGAGAAAATATGACATGTCATACAAATCCGGGCCCTAATAATAATATCCCCAAAACGAAGAAGGGTATTCAGGAAGACCCATGAAACAATGCAAGGATTCTGTTTTGTAATATTCATAACAGCCTCAATAAGCCAAATACTGTAATTATTATTAATGAAGGGTAGGCACAGAAGATGTACATAAGTGTGCATGAGCTGATGGACCGTTAATTCAATTATGAAATACTTCTAAAATTACTTACCGGTGCTTGTAATTAACATTATTAGCAAATGTGGCATAACCTCCAAATACCAACTCGGGATGGGTGATCAAACAAACATGCATTCTATTAAACTGTATGAAGTAATTATTTTACTTGTTCAGTCCATGTGCAATGTTTGATTGCACATTTTATTAGATGGAACCTAAGTATGGTTATCTGTTGTACACTATATCTCACTACTTTCCCGTCTGCACACGTGACAATAATAAGAGGGAGTGTATACCTATTCAAACTCAAGTAGGAATGTTCAAATGAACACAGGCCAAAAAATCATTCATTTTTCACATATAACTGTGTGAGACATCAACGCTCATAGATGTCGGTGAGGTTGTCAGCCTTATGCGCCTACCGCCCTTTACCTCCAGGAAGATTCATGGTATTCATTTCTGTTAGAGGCTGAGTCAGCCCCAGTAACATAGTGCAGCTGGAAGGATTAGGTCAATTGAAAAAATCCAATGACCTCATCAGGAATTGAACCTGCAACCTTCTGGCTTGCATCATGGTGCCTCAGCCAACTATGCTACACTGTGACCCAGTAACAATAATAATAAAAGTAATGATGATATCATTGTGACAATGAAGTATAAAATTTTCCTGCTTAGCAGTGACAAATGTACAATGATATTTATAATCACAACAAAATTTGTGAAAATTATCATCACTGTCCTCTTTACTTTTGAGATAGGACTTCCTATTTCATGAAACCATATATAAGATTCACATGTAAGCAGCATCTAAATGTTTCTGACAAGGGTGTGCCATAATAAACATGGCATTTGGGCATTTGATGAGAACAGATCCAGTTTCAAAAATTGTTTACAAAAAACTCAATAGACTGGACAGTGTTCCGAATAATGATGGTGTTTACTGACATTCAACTGTGGACTCCATTACCTTGGTATCTGCCACTAATGATACCATCCTAGCTGGGTCTTCTCCTTTGAGTACTGCCAATCTCTTTGCCATCTCTTCTTCTGTAGGCACAGGCTGCTGTTTCCTCTCCTCTCGCAGCTTCTCCAGCCGCTCCACAATCTCACAGTCCACCTCATTTAGACCCACCTTCAACTGCTGCATACGTTGATCTTTTCGATATAAGGTTATGGGTGGTCGTGAAGGATTTTCCAGAGATTCCAGTCTCCTTCAGAAGTAAATGTGATACGCCACAAAATGTAATGAAATATGTATAGGCATATGGATAAAATCTAAAACATTTCAAGTTTTAAGTTCAGTGAAACACTTTCAATATGAAACTTGAGGTTCTTATGGAAGATTACTGTACTGTCTTCAGGGATGCAACAATGTGCAGCTTGGTACATAGGAACCAAAAAGAAGAAAAAAAAACTCTTATTAAAACCAACATAATTATTTCTGGACCACTCTGGCCTATGAGGACTGCCAATTTACTCTTTCTTTAGAGACTGAATAAACAGTATGTTCAGTATGAACTTAGTTTCCTTTAGAAATAAAACCTACTGGCAATGAAAAACAGAAATAAGTAGAAACAAATAAAGTGACAGCTACATAAAATAAAACTGTGTCATAAGTATTAAGAGGATAGCAACTGTCACCATGCACTTTTAAGATCTATATCAGCAACATGGAGCAAGTACACATGTGTGAATAGAACTGAACTCACAAAAACAATGAAATGTATTTTCTCCTAATTAGAAAATAGATGATAATAGTTTAAACTAACCTGAGAAAAGGTTCTGGAGGACAATATTCCTCCTTGGATGGTTTTCCATTTTTATCCCTCTCAGTAAGTGCTGCGTAGCAGGATCTGCACACTTTACATACAGAATTGCCCAACTTGGGAATTGCTGTTTTCAGTTTCAGGCATTTACTGCAAAATGAGAATCCACAATTTGGACAATCATGCTGAAACAAATTACAAAAGAGTAGAATATGCCATGATCCAAAGAAGCATTGTTGAGAATAATTTTAGATGTTTCCCTTATAAGTAATGGTCATGCTTCACAGTATATGTCATTAGATTCAATAAAGATGATTTACTACCCTTATGTACATTTGATACTGAAGCATGGCATTATCTTTTTGGGGTAATGCCCCCCTTAGTATGAGTGTCTTTAAAATTAAAAAAAGAATCATAAGAGTTATGTCTGGTTTGGGCAAATTTGTGTGTATTATTGATTACTGCGTTTTATCCAACGATATAACACATGCAGCCACAAGAGTAGAACACATCATAAGACATAATATACACACAACATTAGAAACATAAGAAGAATGACCCCTATGTGGATGATGAATAATACACATGAATTTAAAAATATGATGTATGAGATAATAGATTTTAACAAGTTTTAAATACATAAACTTTATTATTATATAAGGACATATACAAATTTAATATTATTTGTAAATGGACATATAAAAGCAAGCAGTGAAATGGTTAATGGATCAATACACCTGAAGATGGCAGCATACTGCCAAAATATTAAGTGTAGAAGTGGTAGATGGGATTGTATGCCCTTGAGGACTATTAATATATACACATTATGAATATGAATCAGTGCAACAGGACGCTAAAATACAACACACTAAAAGAAAAATATTCTGTGGTTTTCATTAGTATCTAACAGACTACTACGTGGTATCATAATCCAGTAGACCATAATGTGAATCTCACTACCTTGAACACCTCAAATCTCAAAAGGAATCTTCTCTCTGTCATGATTTGGTCTTCTCAGATACAATCCCATGTTGGGTTTCTTTTGGTATTGAATTGTTGAAAGTGGGGCAATGTATTGTATGATTGATGTGCATGAAATCTGTAGGTAATTAAGTTTCATAGCATTGTTGACTCATGTATGATATTTATGTTATTTTAATACTTCTCCAAATATGGATTCTCAGAATAAATAAATTGATTGATAGTCCTGAGCGGTCTTGGGGGTAGGTACCAATGCTTTGAGGAGCATGGTACTTCAACCTTCTGGTTCTGGATTCATCACAAAACCATCACACTAAGTGCTTCAAAAACTTCATTAATGCTACAGCACGAAGGTAAATAACGGCCTATTTGGGGGTAGATGATGTAAAAACATATTCAGATATAGCAACTATTTCAATTATGATTTACAACACCAAATCAAATCCTAACGTACCAACATGGGAAGCTGGCATTCATATTCATGCAACAGAATTAAGATGTTTGTATAAAAAATGTCCACTTTCTACGATCCCGCAGAATTTCTTTCTCTGATAACTATCGTAAATGGTGTATTACGCAATTTTGTAACTTCTATTCCTAATCAGTTTAGACGAGAATGACAGAGAAGGCCCTAATATGTACTGAAGCCAGAGCTCGCCAGAGCTTTTCTATGCAAGACATGGATTACAGTCGAACACATCAAAATAAAAAAATCACGTAAAAAATAATCTTACTTCCTTATTGAAAAATGAAAATTTGTTGGCACAACCGTGACACGACATCCCAAATCACTGTACAATGAAAGCTATTCACAAACATGTAATTAACGATACTAATGCTAATGATATTTCCTTTATTACACACGTGATAATCCTTTTCGTATCACAGATAAGACCTGACAACACACTTCCCCCTCCAACTTCAAACTTGCTATGAAACGCCAACATTTCATCAACAGATGGCAGTAATAAGATGTAAGAAAATAAGATGTTTATAAGAATGTGCTACAGAGGGCCGGATAGGCATTGCCTAGGCCTTTTTTGTTTTTACCATTATTTTTCACGACAGTAATAATAACTGTCTACTTTGAATCATAAGCGTATTTCTGTCCATGGGTCACCCCCGAACGATTGGTTTGATCCGCAATCCGTGGCATCCGTGGTTTCGACCGTTGCGACCGGTTGCGACCATTGCAGCCACGGACGAGGTGTTTCATAAACTCGAACACGTATATGCATCTCAGAACCATTACCATTTAGAAACATTTCCATTGGGATAACTGTACGAGCCTAGATAGGCAAGGAAGTTTGTTAATGGGCTTTCTATAACTGATTTTATAATATAAAGAAACATTTGATTATTTTAAATGTTAAGCTCCCAGAGCGGGGGCTGCAGAAATAGCTATCTTCAGTGATGAATACAGCATAGCGTGCTAGATTATACCATTTCCGAGGAACCTACTGCCTCTATATCGCTCTATATTGCTCTATATTCAGGGCAGAAAAGTAAAGGTGGAGGCAACATTCCGCGGAAACGGGTTCAATCCACACTTCAGTGAACTGAATGTAGCATAGATAGATAGTAGCATTCCAAAAACTTGGTAGCGCCAATATTTTGAAGTAGTAGTTTGCAAAGATGATGTATACACACTAATAACATTACAAGTAACTCTACACGTATTTCCTAAGAATATGACCTTTTAAAGCATTCGTGTTCTTTTAATCTACACCATACTCTACTGGTTCCTTTGGCATTCCTCCCTATATCTGTAACACTTTTTTTACTCAGAGGCACATTCCTCTGAAATTTTGGTAAAGACTGTAAGACTACATAGCATCATATAACAGATTATGATTATTACAAAAGTTATGGAAGGTAAATTTTTAGTGAAGAAAATGCTCTTTTTCACATATTGGTTATTTGTTCACTAGTTTTATTCCTGATTAGCATATGGAGCCACAGTTTATAATAGTAATGTTTGTTCAACTCGTGAAATTTCATCACATTTAGCAAAGTCAAAGTGAATGAAAGTGATCAGCAAAAATGTTTTGTCTTGCACCTTGCATAGGGGCACGCAGTAGTGTAGTTGGTTGAGGCACTATGCTGCAAGCCAGAAGGTCATTGGATTTTTTTCAATTGATCTAATCCTTCCCCCACCAATGGTATCTCCACCTTATCGTGGTGGTGGGGTCTGAGAGCTATGCCGGTGGTAGCATAGCTACTGGTAGGGCCACCCATGCTGGACAGGTCAAGGGGTAGGAGCCAAAGAGGGAGGGATACCCTGGTCCTCCAGGTTGGGGGTTGGGCATGAGGCTAATGACCTCACACTGTAAAAACTAAATTGTTCAGAAATCCAAGGAAAGAGTAGCC